TCTTTAATGCCATACAAATTTGTAGCTTCAGCATTATTTTTATACGGTAAAGTCAGATTTGATCAGAAAGTAGTTTACATGTTGCTTTGGAGTTAAGAGAGGCCATACGTAACATTTAAAAAAAAAAAAAATCTCCTTTGAGAATGACAACCTAATTCCACATATAGGATTGGACAGCCAGTTATTAAAAATTTTTTTCTATAAAGTAAATGAGTTACAAAAGCTTGAGTTGTTTTGCCATAAGGAAGTGCTGATTGTCATGCGATGTGGAGCGTCATTTTTATTATTTTGGCAAGAACAGGGACAGTTTTGTCTTGACAAGCCATTAGATGAATACCAGCATGTGTCACATGAAAAACCACTGATCTTTAACCCAGCTCTGTACTTAACCAAGCCTTGAAAATGAATAGTGAATAAAAGAAGAGCAAAGGCCAGTTTACTGTCATTACAGATTACAGAATCTGTTAACAGCTGCTGAACTGAACCCAGGGAATTACAGGTATTGTTCCGTGAACCAGCAGAAGTCCTAGAGATGCTTGTTATACTGTGTATATAAATTATACATTTATTTGATATTTGCTTAGGATTTACATTGTTAGAAACATAACTAGAAGAAATGAAAATCCTTGAGTACTTTCTCAGTGTACTAACTACAGGCCTGCATCACAAAACCATATATATTTACATAGAACTGTTTCCAGTGAGGTTGCCCTGCCCCCCGTTACGGAACTTATTTTAAGAAAGCAATGTGCTTTTAAAAGAAATTACCAGTAAGTATTAAGAGGAAAAGAGAAAGTATGCAATATCCCCCCACCAAAAACGCCCCCTCAAACATACACACAAAACAAAATCCTTTGTTCATTTGTTTCTGTTAAGTATTCACTGTGGTTGATATTTGCACCAACTTGTGATTTTTTTTTTTTTAATGGAGGGAAAAACTTAAACCTACCTCAATACCGAAATATTGAAAAGATCAGTAACATTTTAAACAGTCAGTTGTGGGAATTATTGCTTACAGAGCTAACAAGAAAGAACACACTTTCTTACTCTGCTGGTGGAATTGCATTGTGCCTCCCCATAGTCTTGTTATCCCATACTAACTGAAATGCAAATTCTTTGCAACTAATTGGATCTCATTGAGGGTGCATGCACAGTATGTAGTTATATGCAAAAAGGCTTTAAAAAATATAATTTCTCTGTAATTACAACTTTTAATTACTATCTAAAACTTTGGCATCTATAGTATAGGTTTAGAATATCTGTATATATGTATCTAACTTTTTACAGATTACTCAAAAAACAGCATGAAATGCTTGTTAAGGTACCAGCTCAAAAATTAGAAGAAAAATGTTTATTTACAGCAATCTATAAATTGAATTCTAATAAAGTCCTGTGAAAATAAGGACTTTTGTTTTGAAGTTTAGGATTTAGTGTCTTAGAGCCAGTATACTGAAGTCATGTTAATAGTGTAATTCTTTTCTTGGAACATTTTAAATGTGAAAACATTTTAAATCATGAACATCAGAATTCACTTCCAAAAATTGTTGTCTTTTGGTTTTTTCTGACAGTTCTCCAGTCTGTTTTAATATTGTAAACTGCATTGAGTTTCTTACTTTTTGTAAGTGTATATCTGCTATCTATTGTTGTGAGGTGGAGGTATTCACATTCCAATAATGTCTTTAATAATTTGGTTGCCATTTGGACCTAGTTGGTGTATTCTTAAATTCCACGGTCCACCGCTCACAATCAGTAAATGTGGGAATGCCAGCACATAGCCTTTAATATTTGTAGTTCTTTAACCTGAAATACTTGGAATCAGGGCAGTACAAAGCGATTACTATGGAAGTGATGCCTACCTCCACCCCCCGCCCCCAGCCTTAAATAACTTTAATCCAAATGATTCCAGACAACTGTTCCATAATCTACAGACTATAGAGCCACTGGACAAACTCAAAAGTCCTCTTTGTGCCTTGTAGGTTTATTTTTTGTAACCTGTGCCTTTCTTGCTAGATAGAAAATTAGCCTAAGATCAAAGATTCTACATGCTGTGTTTATATGTGGCAGTGAGTGGCAAGTTCAAATCATGTATTTGGGGGACTTCTAGAGTCTAATATGTATTTTCAAAACTTGATTTAATAATGAATATTCCAAATTTAAAATCTGCAAAGCACAGCGTGTGTATACGCTTGAGGTTTTTGTTTTAGTTTACTGATTCATTTATTGTTAAGACTTTGGGTTAACTGTTGTCTCTTATAAAGCTTGTCCTCTTTGTAAACTAGTCTTACAAACCAGTTAAAATTTTGTTTTATCAGATCCATTTAGCAAGTGCAGTGTGTACTGTATGATAGATTTGTTGTGAAAAGTTTTAAACCTTAGAAAGATATCCTGGTGCTTTTGAGGCTTGTGCCTTGGCACTAATATGTGGGTCCTAGTTACATTGCAGACCTGTTTCATCTAGAGCAACCTCAAGCCTTGATATCTGAAAGAGCTCAGTTTGCCTACGCTGGGTAGCATTTTGTCAGAAGACTGCTGGCTGGGCAGACCAGATTTGGATGTATTAGCTAGTCAGCCTAATAACCCTGTACAGACTGTATTGATTTTCTAGGAGAGAGTTTATGAACTAAATAAACTTGGGGTTGGTGTCTTAATAAACTGCTTCTCTCAGTCTGTCACATTTAGTTACGGAGCTGTGCAGTTTAGGGGGAAAAAAGGCTAATTCTGTTACAGATTGTTCACAGCAGGGTCTCCAAATTAGCCCTTTGTTTTGTAATGCCACCTTGCTTGGGCTCGCTTTGAGCACATTTCTCAGTTTTGCCCTAATGAGTTGCAACACTGATAATGTGGCTGATGATCTTTCATTGATTTCACTATCACTTGCTTGTCTGGTAATTGATCCGTTGCTGAGCCTCTAGTTAATTATATCGGCTTTGACATGGCCCGGTCCATGGGGAATTTCAAGTCTTGCAGAATAACAGTTTTAATAAAAGAGTCTATTACTGCAGGTGCTTGCTGCTGCATGCCAGTTGATTTTTGTGTTGTGTGTGTGTCTGTGTGTGTGGTTGGGGCGGGGGGTTGGGGGAATGATACCTGGAAAAGAAGAGGACTACAGGACTGAAAGAAAGAAGGGGTGGGGGCTAGAAGAAGAGGAAGAGGGAGGGAAGGAGAGAGGAAGGAAGGAGGGGGAGAGCGGGAGGGCAAAGAGGCGAGAGAGAACACGCAGGCAAAGCGATACAACAGAGCCTGAGAGGAGCGAGGAGGAAGCTTGCTATTGACAGTGTCCTTAAGCCTCCCACAAATAACAGCCATTAGTGGGAAGGTCAGGAGCTGAGCAGGCAGCTTGACTGAGGCACTGAGTGCCACTTCAGAAATCAAGAGGCTAGCAAATTTTAGAGGGAGTTTAAGTGGGTAATAGCTAGCTGTAAAGGTACAGTCACTGTTGACAATTGACTCATAGGGGTTTTTCCTGCTCTCCCCCCTCAAGAATATTTTTATTGACCACAGGTGGACTTCATATATTTTAAGGCAACAATTCTTTGGGTTCTTGTTTGTTTCTTCTCAGATATTGAACTTGCTGCTTTTGAGACTTTTTTGTGCTTAATGGTGGTGAACCGGAGGGAAGTTTAACAGAAAAGCTTTCAGGAGATGTCGGTTCTAGAGGGGAAGGCACATTTGTGTCAACATAGTGTACGTTTTCTCATCTTTTCTCATTGTCCACTAATGACACAGAGCTGCCATTGAAGCTCTTTTCTGTTTCTTTTGTTGTTTCAGAGAGTAAGGTTTATTATTATTCTTGAGTTAAGAAGGAGCAAGGAGAGTGGTACATTTGTCCTCGATATTTGTAGGTGGTTGAAGATTAATGTTCCTTACATTTTAAGTTTAGGAGGATGGCTTTTTCCTGCTGACTACTTTTATGAGATGACATGAATTTAGCTTTCCATTTTGAAGTTACTGTTTATGTACAGTGCATTTTGTTCAGTTCTGCTTTTCCATAAATAAGGTAGATAAACACTATCTAATAAATAGATGTTTTGTTTTAAAACTAGTTTAATTAAAAATACAACATGCTCCCCAGGTTATATTTCATCAGGCATGAAAAGGTTATAGAATTTTCCATAGAGATCTTGAATGAAAAATGGAATTTTTATATTCATTACTTTTTTCCCTGAAATGGGACAAGCTTTTTTTCTTCATCTTTTTCTTTTTTATGATTTGAAAGGATATCGTAGATGCTTCATCCAGGAACTTTAACAAAGGATTTTTTTCTATTTGTGAGCTATAAGAAAAGGTACACTTTTTTTCCTTGCCATTCAATTTCGTATTACTTATCATCCAATTTAATAATTAATGACCGGAGAAACTGGATGTTAAATACTTTGTATTTATTTTGCAAATGTTTATTGTGCACCTTCTATGTTCAAAAAACTGCTAGGTTTATTTATTTACTTTTCAGAGTGGAAGGTCAAGTTTCTATATACATTATTTTCTCTAGGAGTTTATATGTGGTTATAAATAGCCCAGCACATAGTATATGACTTTTAGGAGCTAACATTTAGACAACAACTGAGCCAACTTAACATTCTCTTACAGCTGAATATTTTTCTTTCTTCCAGTGTAATTAGAAAAAAAATGTTTAAGCAGAGCAGTTTACAGATGTTAAAGTAAAGACTGATACTGCATGTTCTACCCGAAAGCATTGTTGGGAAGATTTCCCTGGGAAGGGCCTCAGCTTCTCCTCACCCTGTGTGCCGTCCGTGATCATGGTGCTGCTTGGAGTGTGCATAAGTGTGTGTCTATCTGTGTGTTTGGAGAGGGGTTAGTGCCAGGGTGTCATTCGGTGCCTGACAGTGGAACAGTGCATTTGACTCTTAGCTCTGCTATCCAATGACATGCAGTGGCTGAGAGTTTGAAGCTGATGGTTGGGTCTCCAGTGCTGCCTGCACACCTGACAGGCAGCTGTTAAACTGAGCAAAGGCAAGCTCGGGGAGTCACAATCTATGCATAAATGATAGGGGTATCTGTGCAGAAGGTGCGAAAGAAGCTCTGACCCCCTCCCTCCCCCAAATCTCCCCCTTCCCAAATGAAATGCACAGTTCAGCCAGCTTCTTAACTACACTACACTCCTGCTACTGGCTGCCAAGAGGCTCAAAAAATCCACCTTCACTTTTCAGTCAGAAGAGGCAGAAGTGGATGTGAGAGAAAGAGAGACACACAGAGACAGAGAGCCAAAGAGGGCAAGAGACTTGACTTTAAGAGACTCCTGTACTGACAACTCCATGCAGTTCGGAACCAGAACGACCACAGCTGAACCAGGGTTCATGGGGACATGGCAAAACGCTGATACTAACCTCTTATTCAGAATGTCCCAACAGGTAAGTTACTTTCTTTCTTTCTTTCTTTTTTTTTTTTTTAAGAAACCTTGAATTGTTATACAGACTTTTGTTTCTGTTATTTTTCTTTCTAAACATTTTTAAAAATTTGATCACTTAATAGTTAGGCTCTGTTTTGTCATAACTGTGGTATTGGAATGCAGGGTTACTTCATGCTTTCCCTGAGGGCTCCTTAAAAGAAAAAGGGGAAAGGATACTGAAGTAAAAGAAAGCAAAGGCATTCGTTGCAAAGTTTCACACGAGCGCCTGGGTCATGGGAGGACTTTATTTCTTTGTTTTCTGTTTAAAATTTAAAAAAAAAAGGCCACCATCCAAAAACTGTATCGTTCTGGCTGTATTAATCACTTCGTCAAAGTGTCTGCTATCTCAGAGTAGGTTCTGCAACCAGTCATAAAATGTAGGGGCCCCTCTGCACAGCCCCACTGACTTCACGGGGCTGGAAGCAGCTCGACTCCGACCTGCGGAGAGGAGGCTGTGCAGGAATCGCTGTCAGCGCCGAGGGTCGCGGAGGAGGCGGCGGTGTGCGTGGCGGGCCGTGCCGGCCAGTCCCCGCTCTTCTGCGCCGGCCGCGGCTGCCTGCCCGCCCGTCCGCCTGCCCGAGCGCCCGCCTGCCTGCCTGCCTGCCTCCGTGCTTGCCCCTGCGCTCCCGCCGGCGCCGGCTTGGCTCCCGCACACTCGCCGGCCCGCCCGCCCAGCCGCCCGGCCGCCTGCTCGCCCGCTGGCCGGCGCACTCACACTCGGGCGCAGCGGCGGCGTCCTCCCCAAAGCCGCTGCTCTGTCCGGGCCGCGCTGCAGGCGGCTGGGTGTGCTGGCTCTGCCGGGAAAGCCGACGTGTTAGTGCGAGGCCGGCAGCAACTGATAATTAATCACTGGAGCCGGCGGCTTGTACCATGCGCTTGGTGATACGCGCCCTGCACGCCCGGCTCCTCTTGCACAATTGCTGGCTCTGCGGCTCCGAGGGGGAGCGAGGGTGAGAGGAAGCGAAGGGAAACAACCCAGAAACTTTCATCTTGGACTGTGCTCAAGCGAGGGAGGGAAGTTCCCTGGTGCCTCCCTCCTAGACACGTCTTGCTGTTCAAAAGCCTACACCAAACCCACACAAAGCAAGAGTTAGCATGATAGTATCATTCACACAGCACGAAAGTATTACTGACAAATACAGTTGGATTTTAAGTAGATGGCAGTTGTTAAGAAATTGGTTCTGTTCCACTCATTGGAAAACAAATTTGCAATTGCTTTCTTTTTCTAAAACCTGTTTTGCATGTAAGAGTTCATGAGAATTAAATACTTTATTGAGTTAATTAGATTTTTTAAAGTATTGGTAATGAAGGAAAGAAAACAATTTGGTAGGCTATAAACTACCAGAAGTTTAGAGGTACATCTGCAAAAGCCAGTGCACAGAGCCAGGGTTTTGTAGCCTTTAGCTAGCGAACAGTTTTATCATGCCCTTCTAGATAGGATAAATGCGTTTGAATAAGGTGTATTTTGACATATCCTGTAGAGGGACCCTGATTACTGCTGATACAGTAAGCTGGGATTTAAATGCAATCAACATAAACCCAATAAGCAACTCTTTATGAGCTATTTCCCATTCTTGCAAGTTAAAAAGTTCATTTCCTCCCAGAGATACTCCTTGTCATCATAGAGTGCTTTGAGGGGTGTGTTTCTGAGGCACATCCCTGCCTGGGTGGCTCTCTCCATGCTTGTAACACAGGGTGTGCACTCACTGTAGGACCAAGCAACTTGTGCTGCACTTTAAAAATTAGTGTCACGTTTAGGGTTTTCCTTGAGTTAGGGAAGGTCAAGTGTGTGTGTGTGTGTGTGTGTGTGTGTGTAGGGAAAATTTGTTTAGGTCTCCCTCTAGCTAGAAAGAGTTAATAAAACCAGATAGAGATAAAGATCAATTGATAAATGGCTATTGAACCACATAGATGGTGTTAGATTGCTTCTTTGGCACTAGCCCATTTCCAAGTAGATTTGAATCTAAGGAGACTCTAAGTCATGGAAAACATTTTAGCTAAAAAACAAATAAAAGTAAATGATATAAATGATTGATCAGAATTAGGAAAATAATTTGAAATTGCTCAGAGAAACTTGTGCAACTAAGCTAGTGTGATGTCTTTGATCCAGTTGTTTGACTTTGTGGATATATAAAGATCTATTTTGTCTCTACCTGTGTGCATGCATGTGTCTTAGCATCAGTCGACTTATATGAAAAGAGTAGAAATATAGGGAGGTAATTTATGCATAATGGGTGCTATATAAAATTACATAGTATTATGCCATTTACTAAACAGAGAAGTAAAATGGAGAAAATCACAATTTTAAAAAGTGGTTTAACTATATATTTTTTATTTTTTGGTTTTAATGTAGTTATTGGCTCCCCCCTCCCTTTTTTTTTTCCTGTCATGGTTACTAAATGTTTACCTCCTGTGCATTTCTGGAAGCATGTAAAGAGTGTATGAGTGTATTTTTTTTTCTCCTTCAGGATGACATTTTAGTTTGTATAATATTGTGTAAACTTAAATTCAGACTGTGTAAATCTAAAAATATATATGCTGTACGTGTTATTACAATATGTTTATTTTCTTTACCTATAGTTTATCAGCAGTGCTGATTCAGTGTGTGTGTGTGTGTGTGTGTGCGTGCACGCAGGAAGGACACTTCTTGAAATGATTTTCTTGAAGCCAACAGTTTCAAGGAATACTAGTTTCAGTATACACATTAAAGCCAGCTTTTGTTTTACTACAGGTAAAAGTTTGTCCAGTTTAATCAAACAGGCAGAATTCTGTATAAAGAGGTTTTTCTGTGTTATGATTATTTTAATTTCTAAGAAAAAATTGATTCAACTCTTGAATAGAATTGCTTGGGTCTATTTTTTTATTTCAAAGTTTTCTGTAATATAAAAATACAAGATTTACCAGATCATTTCTTTAAATACTAGAAAAGACTGACTAGCAGGTTTCAAAACTGAGTTACAGAGAATTAACCACCACTATTACTTAACTACAGCAAAACTTGTAGAAATATCTCATGAATACTGAAATTTAATAATCTGCATTTGTATCTTCTACAGGTAAATTAGGAAGTAGGGATATAAAACTCTTTGTCTTTTGTATGAGCAAAGTTGGATCTGCTTATATGTAAATCTGTCTGTCTAATACTAACAAAAAGGCATCACAAACTGAAGCCAGTTTAGATTTGATAAAATTAAGTATTTGTCCCTTACATTCAAGATATGATAATTTTACCACATTTTCTTGCCTTTCTACATCTTTCCCATGTTTAAGTAAGATTTTTCAAAAAGGATAATTTTTTTTCCCATACAAATATTTGATAACCTTAAAGGGCATGACTCTTGACTTCTGTAAAGGAAGTTCTTTTTTGAGTTACTTTGATCAGTGACAGGTCGAGAATGACCAGAAACCCTTTGCTCATCTTCTGTGTTAATCTCCTAGAGTCTAGAACATTATTTTGCCCATTTTAACCTCATTAAGTATTGTTAAAAGCAGAAAATAAGGCCTGCTTTTGGAACTTGTTTTTCTTTTTTCTTAATCAGGTTTTAAAAAGTGATTTTTCTATTTTTGTAAATATTTTGTGCATTTGAGGCAATATCAGATAAAATTCTTTGTAGCTACTTCAAGGGATGCAATAGTCTAATATATTTTGAAATCTTTTCAGACATGAAACCGTAACAGGTAAATGGCTCCAGCCCATGTTTTACACATTATTAGAGGCATTTACCTTTTATTATTGGTGAGGTATATTTAACCTGTTTCAAATAAAATGTAGATCCCTTAATAAGGTCTCTTTTCAGACACAAGTGAAATACTAAGTTAGAATTATAAATGACTCTGTGCATTATTATGTAGTAATTTAGGATTCACCCAATGATGTAACAAAATTAACAACATAATTTCATTGTGAAACTGTGTCTTATTAAAGAACAACTGTCTGACATTCTCTTACAGTTGCTTTATTTAACTTCATGCAAATATTATTAGTAGTGACATTTTTCTATTGTGCATTAGATTCTCTCATTAGCATGATGTGTTAGTTATCACCAGAGAAATCATTTCTTAGGTAGGTGAGGGGCAAACCAAGAAAGCTAAAAATTAAATCAACGATTTACATTAATACTAGAGCATCTGCTCACCAGAGATATGACAGAGTAAAGCAAACTTTCTAATAGAAAATCTAGCCCATTTCAGAGAAATGATAAATAAAATATATTGTAAGAAATATATAATAACATTGCTGGAGTCCATTTAAAAGCATGTTTGATATGAATTTTTCTCCCAGTACTCTTTTAGTTCTTTCTTTTCATATAGGCAAACACAGTTTCAGTTTGTTGAATTTATATTTTAAAGTGGAAATGGTGGTTTTGTCTGACTTCCTACCTCCCCCCCTCAAATAATTTAAATGTTTATTCACTAACAGTTTAAAAGGCACATATACAGTTTTATAATCTCATAAGTCAGATGCCTAATTATATACTGTGGTTTGATTCTTCTTTATTGTTTGTACATTTGTATTCTAAACTCTATCCCACTCATGTAGACATCCCTTTCAACATGGGATGTATATTCTTATTTAATCAGAGCCCCGAGTAAAGCAGTTGATAGTTAATGGTCTTTGAAAATGACTTTCACTGCCAGGCATCATCCATCCCTAGGTTTCTGCACTTTTCCCTCCCTTTTTACTCCCCTTCTTACAGTTGGTGTGTTTTGGTAATCACGTCTTAAATTGACCAAACTTATGGTCTTGATGTGAAAATATTTACATTAGGAAGCATGTAATTTCAGCCTGTTGAATTACTAGGCTGCTACCTCCCTTTAAGTTCCCATCTCTAATTTGAGTGATAATATGTTTTATTTTGAAGTTTTAACTGTAGACATATATTCAGATACAATTCTTAACATCTATTCTGATGATGTAATACTAAAATAGGACTATTTGAGTAATTGTTAAATTACAAATTG